ATACATATATATATATAAGCAAACAGAAGAAAACATAAAAACAGTTCATAGCTGGCAAGCGCTCATGTGACCTTACGCGGTTGCGAGCGCCGTAAAACCCTATACTACTACTACTATAGCTGGCAACTCACAACACTAACGGTACTGAAGAATCAAGCAAGGACTTCTGCAGACTCTTCCAAACTACGACAGAAGGTAAAACAGCTGCTGCAAAGGTAGACAAACTTAGTCGACATACTTCCCATGAGCACTGGGTGTGTCCGTGTACGCCTTCATTAACTCACTGCCTGTCAGCCACATTTCTCATCACCCGTGTACCCAGCTCCGGTTATGTTAGTAGTATGGGGTTTTACGGCGCTCGCAACTGCTAAGGTCATATGAGCGCTCCCGTCTCCGGTGTAACCAACTCTGGTGTACCCGCAATATGTTTGTTTTAGTACAGGTTTTACGGCGCTCGCAACGGCATAAGGTCATATGAGCACTAGAAGATTTGATGTGTTGTGTTACAAGAGAGTAACAAACATAAAAAAGAAAAAGGGGAGTTAAAGGACGAAGAAGCAAACCACACCAGAGCATCCCCCAACCACCCACTAAGACAAGTGTGTGCACCCACGCATAGAAGGCATGTGTGTTATGTATGTATACATATTAACCCCCTTTGATAATTCAGTTGGCAGCAATCTCTACCCAACAGCAACTACGCCTTGCTTCCTAAGGATGTTTCTGTCAGGGAGACACCACTGTATAAACGTAAAGGATAGCAACAACGCTGCGTGGTACTGTAGAAAGCTTTCACAATGAAAAGGAAACCACAAAAAAATACTGTGTATGTAAATTAACAAGACACAGACAGTATCAAAAGTATTATAAAAAAATGGGTACACTAGGTAGGCTACAAATGATGCTCTCTGAACAGTCTGTAAGTCACAAATTACGCGAGACACAAGCACTATTCCGATTATCCTATAATCTCAGTAATCCGCTTATCTCCCTTTGCAGAGGAAACTTATTATCAGCAAAGATAGTACATAACAAGATGGGCCACTCAGCCAAAAAATTGTCCGCAGGAAGTTCGCTCTTTGCTTCAGATGGCGCTGCAGTCTGTTTTGAAGCTCTCTTTCGTTTTTCCAGAAGAAGAATAGGAATAGCACCTCCTTGCGTGTGCAGATCGACTGCTGTTCATCAGCAGTTCGGGTACATTCAGTGTGGAGTTTTATTTTTTTTTTTAATTTTAATGACCTCTCGCCTTTCATTCTAAAGTCAAATTAAACGAAGAAAACAATCACCCTTTCCTCCGGAAGAGGTTTTTTGTCAGCGTAACCATTTTAAAAAAGCGTTCTTCCGAAATTCATTCAAAAACTTGCTAGTTTCACTTTGATTTTTTAACTCAAGTAGGATAACTCTGTTCGCTAAAGGTGCGCTTTTGCGAAGAGGGCGCCACCGAATTTTGAGGACACTTTTTAATTGGCTCAAAGAGAGAAGTGGCCCATCTTGTTATGTAGACTCTTTGTTATCAGCCATGAGACAAGACATTTCACAAACAAATATCCAACCTGGCATGCGTAACCGAGCTTACAGAGGAATGTTTGACTAATTTGGGAACAAAAAAAAAAGATTGTAAAATTAAATACTGCTCTGATAACTATTTACAGGTTTGCATCTCAACCCCACCACAATCAACTCTTTGTTTTTCTCCCCATCTCACTCGCTCTACTGTGTATACAGACAAAGAGCACATAGACAACATTTCTACAAGTCAAATGCATGCACAAACTATCACACACACACACATTAACACACAAACTAAGACACACACACATATTAAAACACAAAAACCAAAACACACACACACATATTAACACACAAACTGACACACACACATATTAACACACAAACTAACACACACACACACATATTAACACAAAAACCAAAACACACACACTAACATATTAACACACAAATTGACACACACACACACACACATATTAACACACAAACTGACACACACACACATATTAACACACAAACTAAGACACACACACACACACACACACATTAACACACAAACTAAGACACACATTTTAACACACAAACTGACACACACAAATTAACACACACACTAACACACACACAACCATATTAACACACAAACTAACACACACAAACTAACACACACAGAAGTAGCACCAGCAGTAAGAATGTTGTTCTCCACCAATCGGTCATGGATAACGCGACTTTCATCCCGAGATAAACACAATCTAACAAATGTCCACTCATCTCTCTTCAGCCTAAACTTTTGAATCTGTGCTACTCAATCTTTCTACAAACAACTCTGACACTCCAAGTGGCGGTCGAACAAGTTCAAACTACTACAATTCAAAGCAACGCCACCAATCCACCAAAATGTAACAGTGGAAATCCTCCTACACCTCAGAGGGGATGGTACTGAAAAAACAAATGAAATTGCCACTCAAAATCAGCTATTCCATAGAAAAACAAGAACAATGAATCAATCTATGATTTTCTTGCATAAAATGATTATTTGATTTCCAACAAAAGAGTAGGTCTCATTACACTCATGAAAGTTACATTCACCAACATCAAATCCATGGAAAGAACATCCCCCCCCCCCCCCTCACTGAACATGAAAGCAAGTTTCAACAACAGTCAACTTATCATTTATCGAAAAAGGGAATGCTTTCTTCCACTTCAAAAGTAATTGATGCAACGTAAGAATCTTTCAAATCTATAAACAAAAAGCAAAAAAAAAAAAATCCTGTAATAACCCTGCTGACCCCAAGAGCAGATCCACGCCCATGAGTCGCAGAGCGATAAACACAGTGGGCCATTCATCAAACAGGAAGCGCTTACGTGGTTAATGTACATACACGACCACGACCCAAAACAAGTCAGTGGAATTTTTTTTTGACATAAAAAAAAGGCAAAAATATTCAGCCATTCAACAAGAATGTGATGGAATCCCCATACCATGAAGCACACGTCTTTCTGTTGATTTGTATAAACAGAGAACTAGGACTTGAATCTATGGTGAAAAAGACAGGCTCACCACTTACCCGGAAGAGCTACAATTACACGTCACCACCCTATGTAACATTTTGACAAATCATCTTTTCTCATTTTCGCTTCTCATAATCCTTTCCATCCATATTCTACATCCACACAAGGTTCATGATTATGTTGTCTGTTCAATCCGTCATAGTTTGAGGGGTCAACCATCCAGTTTGGCTTATATTTGTCAAAGTCATAGCTGTTCACAGAATCACAATTCAACATTTACAGGCAAACGTCTCAGTATATATAAGTCAAGTAAACGAAGTAACTAGAAGGAGTGACAGAATATAAAAACCTTGAACCAGTCACCAAATAGAAAAACAAATGAACATATTAACCCCCCCCTTCCCCCCCAAAAAAACCCAAACAAACAACAACACATGAATGCATCTTTGTCGAACACTTTTTGGGCACGTTCATAAAGGAGAGTGCATGTGACGTGGACATGCGCCACAATCTCCGGACTCACTTGACATTATTCGACGTCAAAAGTCACAATAAAATCTATACAAGCAGGTCCAAACACGAGCACCCACTATCAGGAGCAAAATCACATTCAACACATCACAGTCAAGTGTCACTTGCAAACATACCAAGAAACGCAAAATCACATTCAACTTATCACGGACACGAAAGTGAAAGATACAAGTCAACCACAAGTGCTCATAGTGAGTCATAGTCCTCGTTTATGTATACAGAGACACGTAGACTCCCAGCAATTCAACAAATGCGCTCATCCCAATCAAGGAAATTGAGTTTTAGTAAAGAGAAACACATCGACACAATAATGGTTATATATAGCTTAGGGAAGAAGCAAGACAGATAGACAGAAACAACAGAGAAAAGGAAAACAAGTTGGACCTACCAAAGCCGCCCTCCAACCACCCACCAATTAAGGTATCATGGACGAGAAAATGAAAAGAAAAGCTGACGATAAGTCATTGCACACGAAAAAAAAGACATATGGACCCTCACACACTCCAAAAAATGCACTTATTTATAAATAAGTCTTCTCATCTCTCGACGACCCGAGGACATTTTGACTGAGCACCCGACAGGAAGTGGAAGATGGCATGTAGGTTGAGCTTGAAAAAATGGCGTCCTTTGAAAATCACTCGGCACACACATGGCATTCGCACCCATCACCACGCACTGTGTAGTTGAAATAAAAAGATAAAACATAAGTGTGCAAACAGACGGACGGACGGATGGCTACATGGAATGGAAGCAATGTACACAAATGAACAAACACACCACCACAAGAAAGCTACCACAAGCTTTTCATATATCGGCAGAAACTGACACACACAAATGAACAAACACACCACCACAAGAAAGCTACCAGAAACTTTTCATATATCGGCAGAAACTGACACACACAAATGAACAAACACACCACCACAAGAAAGCTACCAGAAGATTTTCATATATCGGCAGAAACTGACACACAGATAAAAATTGCTCCAAAAAATCTAGCCAAAAGTAGAAACAGACAAACAGCACATAAGATATGAAACCATGCTAAAATAAAACCTCAAGTGAAATTACAGGGAATTCCACCTCGATTCATTTCCCACTTTTCTGTACCAAGTCCTGGGCCAGACATCTCACAGTGTCACAGGACTGAATTGAAAACTCTGACGCTGAAATGCACTGGCATGAGAATTCATCTGGAAAAAGACCTTTATTTTTTTTCTTAACTAAATTAAGGTGTTTTATGTCCCTATCAACACAAATTAGATCCTTTAGAAGGTGGGCCCTTGACCCTGTCTGTCAGGGCCAATCAGGGCTGAGAAGGATACAACATCCCAGCAGAAAGACTGAAATCCCCCCC